TATAATATACCTGTATACCTGACTGCCAAAGGAAATGTTTTTTTTTTCAGCAGCTTTGGATAAAAGACATAGAAATCAATGCAGGGGCCCATTGCTTTGGTCGACCTGCTTTTTGAAGTGGGGCATTCGCTTTCATGTGTTTACTAGCCATGTGTGGTGAATCCAAAGGTTGCCTTTTGGATTTCTACAAGAGCATCTTTGTTTTGTTTTTTTCATTGGACGATGGAGCGAGGACGCAATATATCCGGCAATGGTTTTCATAGGTAACTTGTAAAGGTTATTCCCTTGATCAATGGCAGAGGGAGACCAGAGAGTAACTCTCATTAAAAACTCCCAAGCTGCTTACTGAATCTCCTTGCAACAAAATGTCACTTTTCCTTTATATGGATGACTTGCAGGCTGTAATATTTCAGTTTTTCTAGTCCATTTTACTGTTAAATAGCAGAAAATTTTTAGTTGACAATCATGTGCAAAAGGATGAAAATGTGTCAAATCGTAACAGACCAAACTTTAACAAAATGTAAAAAAAAGTTGGAAAAATATATAAACGATAATTAAAAAATGTATTTTATTAAGTATAATTTTTGTTTTATTATTTAAAAAAATATTTAAAAAATATTAATAAATAGCTAATGCCAACTAAACTGGAATATTGGCTACTTTTTAGAAGTACAAACCAACTAGCGTTTTTATTTTCTTTTGTTTGTGATTTGTTTCGCTTTGCTTTGGCTTGTTTTGCTTTGCTTTTGTTTGTCTTGGTTTGCTTTTTTGGTTTAAATTTTTTCTGTGTGTTTTGTCTTAGCTTTGTTTTGTTTTTTGTTTTGTTTTTGCTTAGTTTTACATTTAATGTTATATCACTGACTTGAGGTTAGTTTTGGTGGTCGTCTCTTTCTTTTCTCCCTCATGCCAATTTCTCTTGAATTTTCTCTCTGTCAGCCTCTATTTCGCCCTCTCTCTAACTGTCTTTCTAACTTGGTCCTTCTCTAAAACCCGTCACTCATAGACGTCCCCTTCTTTTTTTCTCTTGTTCTTGTTCTTTTTTTCTGGCCTTGGCATGCAAACTCTGTTTTTTCATCTTCCTCCATCATTCTCTCTCACTCCATCCATCTCTCTCTTTGTTTCTGAGATGACATTATTTATTATTCATGCCACCATTGATGTGGCTGCTGTTTTATTCCCCTCGCAACGGGAGGAGCACGCTAAAACAGCTTACATCTTTTCCTTCTCTGTGAAAGAACTCCAAAATGAGCCTTTGACTTTGTGGTTAGTCAGTCAGCCATGTCTCCCTCTCTGAAATGCGATAGGATGCTCATCAGTAAAGGAGATGCGTTCCATTGTCTCCGCGGGCTCCGAAGGCCCCTGAGTCCCAATGAGAGCTTTATTTGGCTTAATGAAAGTTGAGTGCTTTGAGAGAACACATTAAATGTGCTGACGCCATCCTCTTCACTCATTGAAATATGAATTGGATATTAATGATGATGCCTGTTGGTGATTTCGATGAGCTTTATGAAATGTTGGCATCAGATCGGAATGACTAATCACATTTCCGGGAGACATTATTTGCATTTTTGCATTATTCATTTGTGTCAGGTGAAATGTAAAGCTTAACGGGTTAGTTCACCCAAAAATGAAAATTAGTCCATAAATTACTCACCCTCAAGGCATCCTAGGTGTATATGACTTTCTTATTTCA